TAAAATATATATATCTTATAGATAAATATATACTTGTTAACAACTGGTGTATCAACGATTGATCAGTACAAAATTTTAGCAGGACATTCGATGTTTGTAGAAATCGTCAAGCGATATCGAACATTTGGCCGGCGGTGCTGTTTTGGCTGGCGGATGAGTTGTAATTGTCGCAACTGATGAAAATGGAAGAGATATGCAATGTTAGAAGCATCGTGTAATAATGACTACAGTTCATATATTCGAAATTTGTGTTACGTTGCCTTCATGAGGAATTAAAAGTATTTAAAATCATTTACAATGATTGCAATTTCTTTACGAAAATTGGTCCATTTTTATACATCCTGTGTTTTAGCATCTATAATTTCGTAAAGAAAATAGATTTCTTTACGGTTCGTGACGTAATCTGAAGAAGCGGATTTCAATTTACTTCAATTTTTCACATTCAGAACACTTCAAAATTTTAATGTCTCACGAACTTCAATTTTCAAAACGTTCGTATCTCTTTCGGTTAATAATGTTAGTAATACACACAAATTCCCAACTTAATGCTAGTATTAAAACGTTGACTTTTTTAGTTTACACATAAACAAAGTCAACGTCTTAATACTAGCATTAAGTTGGGAATTTGTGTGTATTACTACATAACATTATTAACCGAAAGAGATGCGAACGTTTTGAAAATTGAAGTTCATGAGACACTAAAATTTGAAGTGTTTTGAATGTCGAGAGTTTAATTTAATGTCAAGCGATATCGAACTTTTGGCTGGCGGTGAATATTCAAGTATTTATACTGATGTACTGCATATACACTCAAGTGTACCTGTACTCGAGTACATACACGTGTATACACTTGTACATGCTTCTTCTCATCGCGACCCGTTAATTACTGCTATAAACTGAACGAGCAGCGTAAAACTGAACCTGATTATTGCCCGATCGTATATCCCGTGAATCCCGGCCTCTTTAACAATCTAGCCAGTTTGCGGAAGCGGGGGAGTGACTAGCGTAAGGTATGTATATCCGTTGGACAGATTCCAGTACGCGGGTGCAGCAGCTTTGGGGTCGAAATACCGCGATGGTTGCAGGGTTGGTATTACTGACATTAGCGTCGCCAGTAACTCTTTCGAAATAGGCTTGGCACGTTCTAGACTTCGGCTACTACGCTTGACTTCCTACACCTTGCCTGAATCACGCTTCGAAATTCCGCATATCCGTGCCCGCGCTCGCGCGAACTTTAACGCTATTCTCCTCTCTCATTTATTCCGTCTCGACATTCCTGATTGTGCTGTTTGACGAAGGAAGCTGTCTACATAAGGTATAATACTACTATTCTGCTACTTTTTAATTATACTATGCCTTCTGTTCTAAATGGGAAAAGAAAATAGCGAATATTGTTTGAGAATATTATTGAGAGGGGCACATCTTATCTTATAAGGTGTGTGCCTTTTTTGTGGGTGGAGGTGGTTCAGAGATTTCAAGGTGACCTTGATTTTTTTTACGAAATGACCTATTTTTTGTACCATAGATCGATAGGGTATCATATTCTGAGTAAAAATGTGGTGAGCTTCGTACTTGAGTGAGTGTTTATTCACAGTAATAGTCATCGTATCTATGGAAGCATGCTTGAATGAAAGAAAAAGTATCCCTCAAGAGTTTAAACGCATGTTTGAGAAAACTTATATAACTTATGGGATGACCAAATATTTAATATTCTATCAACAATAATTTATTTATTTATCTGATACTCCGATTGTTTTCAGTGCTGGACTCAAGCAATGCAGTTACTCACGGAACTATCCGCCTATCCCATACGTATAACAGATTTTACATATTTAATCATGTAGGATATTTCTAAGCCATAAGTTGGCAGTACTCAAGTGTGGGGGACGCACTTCAGGTCCTTAACATATAGAGAATATTTTGTTTTATATCTTTATCTATGAATTATTCGAAGCGACATTCGAGATTTCCAACAGATCAAAACCGCGAAACGAGTGTTTCCATACAACGGATCACGGCGTTGCAACCTTTACTTCGATATAATCCGTAAATTACCGCACCGTACACTTTTTAATTGCCCCGATTCCGCGTGTCGGACGACCCACAATTTTCTCGATGACCGTTCCGCCCCCGGGTAAAAAATGCAAGTCCGTTAAGCAGAAAATTCAGGTCTGCATAATTACTATTCCTTTTTTCCCCGGAGTCTACGCATTTAAAGTTCCCACTTATGAAATGCAACTAATTAAGGTCACATTAACCCGGTTTTAAAGAACTCTCGCCTGTTAAAGGGGCACTGGCAAAACCGTGAAACGCCGCACGGCAGATAAGCAGCCGCGTGGGCTCGAAGCTCGTCGAAACCAGGGTGGAAAAAAAAAAGAAGGAATACCTGTTCCACCGTGTGTATTTCAGATATAATGGATTTTATGTGTCCCCGGGGGACATGAATATCTCACACGCGTTTGATCCCAATGAAAGTCGACTGCGTCGAAATCTCCAGCTCACTGAGAGAAGGACGAATCAAACATAGGTCTCGACAGAGATGGATAAAACTGCGTTTTCAATGAAACGTCCGTTCTGGGCCGCGAAATTTTTTATGTTCATAAAAAGTATGTGGTCATCAAGCCGATCACATTTATTTCTTATCTCTGTGGTCTGCGCATATCAGATCTCAGAATTCAGGTTTTCATCGCTTCTGTCGTTATTTGTACCTATTCTCAACGTTTTTTTGCGTTCACCACAAGCGAAGGATGCAATGCGAGAAGAAAGAATTTTGCTTCGGTATTGTCAAGATCGAAGGAAATGAAATTGCTTTTACCGAGTGATCGCGACAGTAATGGCCGTTGCATTCAAGTTGCTGTTGTGAATTCATTTTACTTTATCGACGAGGAATTCAACGTTTGGCAGAAAAATGTCTAAATGTTATAGAAAACGACGGGAACTGTTTCTAGTAATGGACGATACAGTTATTGTTCAGTATTAATGGAAATTTTTGACGGAAATACAGCCATTACACTTGTATACACCTAATACTTTTATGTTTTTATATTTATGGAGATGTGGCGAGGTTTCCGAAGGTTTTGACTCGTTCGAGAACTAAAAAGGCAATGATTCTGTGAAGCTTTGCCTTTTGAACTACTCGATAGAAATACAGAAATCACAAAGGAATGATGTATTGCTGTGGGGTGGTTTCCAGAAGCGGAACTATTAGACTGCACTGCACAGAATTATCGATATTCGAATACTTAAAAATCACCGCAAGATTAATAAATCAAATGATTTGTATTCGTGTTGTGCTCTAGACAGAAGTTATAACAGTGTCATATTTCTCGATTTCTATTTATTATTGAACTCTTTTTGCGATTATTTAACTATTCTGCTGAAGTAAACACTATTGAATCGAAGAAATCATTTCGAATAGTTTTTCGGTATGAATTTTAATTGGTCCATTCACAGACATTCATCAAATGTTTCTCTAACAGAAGATCAGTTTTCGTTGCAGTTGGATCTCTTTCTAAGAAATAAAACATTCCCCTATCGAAATCGGTAAGTGCTGTATTTGAAAAATTCATACAATCGCAAATATTAATTTTTATAAAAATGGGATGTATCAATTGGTATTTTTCTTGGAGAAAACAATTAATTGTGATAGTGTATATTTCTGCTGAATAAAGAGTATTATTTAAAAATACTGTGTTTCTATTTCGACCTCTAGAAACGAAAATTTCATACGGCACAACCTAATACATGTGTATATTGTCCCAATGGAAATTTATAATACGTATTTTCTAAAAAGAATGCTCTCGAATTGTCGTAACTGATGAAAATGGAAGAGATATGCAACGTTAGAAGCATCTTGTAATAATGACTACAGTTTATATATTCGAAATTTGTGTTACATTGCCTTTATGAGGAATTAAAAGTGTTTAAAATAATTTACGATGATTAAAATTTCTTTACGAAAATTGGTGGATTTTTATACGTTCTGTATTTTAGCATCTATAATTTCGTAAGGAAAGTGGATTTCTTTACGGTTCGTGTCGTAATTTGAAGAAGCGGATAGAACACTTCAAATTTTAATATCTCATGAACTTCAATTTTCAAAACGTTCGTATCTCTTTCGGTTAATAATGTTAGTAATAAAGTATTAAATGTCGTCTAGTATTAAAATTTCGACTTTTTTAGTTTACACATAAACAAAGTCAACGTCACTCACCAGTTTTATTTAATGTCACGCTTCAGGTCGAATGTACATCAGCATTAAAAACAAATCGATATTATAAGTATCCGAAGCTTTAAAGTCAATTTAAAGCGTTCGTTTTTGTACGAAGGTGGAAAAGTAATCGAAATTCCAATTACATATTCAATTAACTGCTTTTTCTCCAATATCTCAGGCAACAATTTCATATTCATGGTATGTAAAATGTATAGCCATTCAATGAAAACTCTTCTACAATGTTAATCAACTTTATGTCTATGTAAATATTGGAGAACTAATACTTGAGGTACGAGAGGAAACTTCTGTTTGAGAGATCGTTGACAAAATCAAATACCAAATTATAAAATTTAAAAGATTACAAATCCTAGGCTAAACCTCGAACCTTCCATATAAAAGCCATTTACCATATACTTATCATACATAAATACACGTTTTCGTAACATAATTTCAAATACTTTTAATGTACCCTTTACAATTGCTTGATAATATGTCACAGTATGATTGCATTGCGGATGTTATACATTTATAGAATATCCGATCGTCTAAAATTCAGTGCAGTAAAACAACCTGCTAGAACCCTTAACAGGATAAACAAATTTTTGTGCGCGTCCAGTTACGAAAAATCAATCTAAAAAATTCTATACTTGCATAAACATCCGCAATCTAGTTACGATATTCACCGTCCAGGTTATTCGTGTTTCGTCCTAAAAATACTCGATAGATTTTCCCGAATAAGAAACCCAAAAGTTCCAACAATTTTCATTTCAAATGCTATAAAACTTACCGACAGTTGATCGCTTAATATTCCATTCGTTAAAATCACCAACGCGTTTCAAGTAGGAACGGAGGTTCAGTGTTCAGTCGAACGCACAGATCAGTGTTTCAACATTAATCTTTCACGGCACAGGTTATACTTCGTCGCGATCCAGTCACCCAGAGGCGGGTTCGTTCAACGGTTCTCCCCGATCCGCTCACAAATTTGCAGCTTTACACTTCGTTAAACGGTATAACACTGGTACACTGCTTGATTAAAAGGGATGTTTATTATTTAGTTAGCATTATCCGTGCCAGGTCGGCGTCGTTACACTGGCGTGGCGCGGACCGTTTATTTAGAAGCGCATTCGAACGATTCGGAACGTCATTAAACACGAATAAATGAGATGATTATTCATATGCAGGACGCGCTGTCATGCGATGACATTTGAAACGCCTGTCGGTCATTCGAAAATAATGTATCAAACTGTACAAGATACGCGAAGTGGAACGTAACGACAGAGCTTTTTAAAAATAGAACAGGCAAATTAAACGATACACGAGTGTTTTAATTCTTTCTGTAACCATAACACGTTGACTGGCCAAAATTTGTAGTACAGTGATGATATAGTTATAAAATGCATATGTATAATTTGACTTGCATATATTTATAGAATTGTGAATGTTACGGTTTTGATGTGAATGTTTTTTTAAATAATTTAATTGTAGCGGTCAATAGTAATCGGTGTAACAGTCAATGTGATAATAGCGGTATTGATATTCTTATGTAATATTGTGACCAACACGAAAATCTGAGCTAAATGAATTATTTAAATCCTCAAGTTTGCTTTTCTCGAGATGAATTCTCTTAACAATGGAACGTTCGAATTCGTAAGAACATAGTAAATACGTTGTTCCATTAATCCCGATCTCAACAACAATTAACGTTGAATGAGCAGCGCTGAAGTAGTCGTGAATCGGATTACGAAATCGCCAATTCTGAGAATACGGATCAACACGAGCGGATAGCCGATCAATGTACGCGAGACTCGATAACACTCATGCACTATACAATAATTAGTACTTCACTGTTCCATAAGTTTCATGGTATCAATGTGAAAATCGAATAAAAACACTGTTGCTGGCAAATTAATTTACAAGCTTTTGTAATGAAAAACGTAATTAAAAATTAAACTTCGACTTCGGGTTAAGTTGATGGCATACGAGATTTCATTGAAATTATGTAAAAATAGACACGTCGATGTGATGTATAATAGACAGATTATAAATAGACTTATGTAGATTTAATAAATATACAGATATAATTTTTGAATAAATGTTTTGTTAGCCAATCGAGAAGTTATTACTCAATAATACCAATCCATCCAATTTTATACGTGACATGTTGTTTGTTTTCGAATAATTACCAAAAGCACACAATGTCTTTGGTTCAACTAAAATAATTCCCACAATGTACCACAATTATTCAAATTATTTGTTCCTCTTTGATTGACTTCTACTGTAAAACAGAGAAGAGAAACCTATTTTCTAAAAAAATAATTAGTATTATTTCAAGAATTTCATCTATCATGAAAATTTTGATAGTTATTTTCGAAGTATCCAAACTTACAGTATCTCATCACAAGACTAATCTTGAACTCATCGATCCAAATTATTTTTTCTTCACTTTAATATAGAATGTCTGTGTAATTGCAGCACACCAGAGAAAGAACAGAAGTCTCGCATAAAATTAAGTCCAAAAAGGTAGAATAAAATTTGTTTGCATAAATCTCCAATTTCGAGAAAATTGATTTTGAAAGTGCACCTAATACGCACGTGTAAATATCAGTAATCTCCAAATGACGAACACTTGAATTTGATATTATTAAAAACAGACTTATTCTTGCACGAAGAATCACCATATGCCTGACTGTACTACAATTTCAGTGATTGTATGAAGCAGTAGCCCCTAACGTAAAGCAAAACAATTAAATAAATCATACAACGTACATTCATTAAAGCTACCTAATATTGATTCAGCTGTCAGATCGTACCAACATTCCAGATACACCCTCTATATGTATACACGTCGTTTGTCTTCCTAATCGTCCTTAACGCAAAATAAAACAATTATCGCGACGTGTACTTGTTAACACAAGTTCAATAAACGCCACGACGAAGAAATAGAAAAATGTACACATACACCTTTGACTTTTATCATCGTCTAACAGTACTGTGTCCATTGTAACACCAGGTAAAAAATGATTTCCCCCAAGCTGTGTCTTAATAGAAAGTTAAATTGTTTTGGTACACTCGAAGGTAAACAATTTTAAATATGGTACTGCAGTTACACTAGCATTGTCAATTGGTAATATAATTCACTGGATATACGAATATGTTTTTCTCCCACTATATACATACGTACACTGCCGTTGAAAAGTTTCCGGCCACCAACTACGTTTTTCAATATGCTCCTTAATACAGGGTAATGTTCAAGAACAGACACTATAAAACAAATTTTATTTGCTACTATGGTATCTCACGTTTACAGTTCCCTAGGTTTTATGACTGTGTACGGTACATCGACCACTTAAATCTCAATTAGAGTAGATATATGAAGGTAACTCTTCTAAGTAATTATTATAATAACAATTTTCACTGTACGTGACACGTACTATTTGAAAATGTAGTATAATGTCTCTAACAATTCACACTGTCTTTACAGTTATAACGTTTAACAAACACACACAGTAAAATTTATTGTTATTCTTCTTACTAAAACGTAATCAATATTCCACTAGAAATATAAATCCCTTGCAATTCAGCTCCTCATTTTGATTAACTTACAAGTATCGAAGTGGTCGGAAACTTTTGGGTCGACAGTGTATATTTCGTACAATGGATCGAAGTGTCGTGATAGTAGGTCCACTAGTCCGAATCAGGAATAGAAAAGTAATCGGTTAATTTAATTATCGGTCGTCATTGAATGGGGTACGGCGGTCGCAACCGAGATAGGTTTTATCGGACAGCGTTATCTCTTTCACGGTGCCGTGGACCGCCGACGCGCCGAGTAACAATGTTGATTAACCGGTTTAATTGCAAATTATTGGCCCGTTGGAAGATTCGATCGTGCCCGGGCCTCCATTCACGAGCCGTGACCGCGAAATCATCTCCACGCCTTTCTCCATGACATTTATTGCGGCGCGATCACCCCCAACGCCACGTTTTCCGTTGCCTTTTTATAATACGACCGCCCGAGCCGTCGTAGTATGACTTCCTAAACGACACGGAATCGTTCCCTCTCGTGAGAAGAAATTATTCCCCGCGTTCCGAGCCGCGTGTTTTCGCCTTCGGAACCAGGGGCTTTTATTTTTGCGAGGAATTTAAAAAGCGGCGACCGCGTTAGAAAGCTGAATGTCTAAAATATTTCGTTCGTCTGTATGAATATTCATACGTGGCCGCATTATCATCGAGAATTTTAATTCCTGGCTTCCCGCAGGAGAAAACACAAATTTTTGGAGAAACGGTAAACTATTCGAAGAAATGAATATGTATATAAGAATGAATTCTTGAAATCTTTAACATTATGAAGGGAATAGAAAGAAATTCTGGGAAAATACGTAAGTTCTAAACGATGTACCTTGAAAATTTTGTATTTATGTCGTGAATACTAAATATCTGACATGCATTGTTTAAAACGTTCAGGATACCGTTTTGTACTTTGCTCGGAAAATCGAGTAGAAAATTAATTAGCCGATTAAATAATATGAAAATGATTGAATACATTAATTATTATCCTCGTATCATTTGATTTCCATATATTGTGAATATAATCTTATTCTTACTCATATGTAATAAACGAGACATAGAAATTAATAGAAAATAATTCTCAAGTTCCCATAGGCTACCGATTTACCAAAGAATCGTGACAAATCCCCCACGGTCGCAGCAATTTTCTACGTTATTCAGGAAAAACAAGCAGAAATTAATTGCAATTAATTTACATGCGTCGTGTTTGTAACGGACCGGTGGTCACGCCGCGCGATGCGTTGAGTTGCATCACTGAAAACCGCTCGGAGGGACGGCTACGCGTACCGTATCAGCTTTAATTGCCGCGATTATATTCTTTGACAAATGTTCTCCGACTGGACAGCACTCCAACGCAACATACACACAGCCAGCATGGAAATCCAAGTCGGTCGATTAATAAGCATACAGTTTCCCACTCAACACGTGATCCTCAAAGTCCGACATCCTGGCCTCATTCTCTCACAAATCCCCACCGAAATCCATTCTCTCCGCACGACAAAACTAAACCAAAACACACGATCTACAAGGTATATAATTCTTCACGTTCGAATGCGCTTCCCACGAGTATCCTGGAATATTACCGTCCACTTCGTCGACGAGGATACAATATCCCCCCTTAGGTACCGCACTGAAACCGTTCGATCAAAATATCTCGATCCCGTGGGGACACACTGGCCGAAACCGGGCCGTCACGGTGCGTCACGGTTGAAACCGCAGCGACATTCCGGGGGCCACACTTCACGGTCCAAATTGTTTCCCGAACGACGCGCACGATCCACTCTGGTAGTCACACAACAAAACAGTAGTAGCCTCCAGCACGTCGACCAGGATCGATCCGGTAGCGAATTATCGGCTGGCCGGCCGATTAACCGCGGGTTCGTTCGACGAACCTGTCGACACACACGCGTCGACAACACCGTATATAGGAAGGGAACCGACGTTCCAGGGACGAACGCGGCAGACTCCGCGCACCGGCCGCCGTACGACGAATGAACGAAAGCCCGACACGGCCGAAACTTCGCGAGCCCCACCGCCCTTTCGGTCGCTCGTGAAGTTGGGGAGGGTTTCCACGGTGTTGCTACAAGATAATTAATCGGTGGAAATATAATGCCCGATCGTGGCCTTCGTGCCCGCCACTTCTCTGTTTTATTAAACGGGGACCACCGCGTGGACGTGCCCTCGGCCGCCCGAGCGAAAGGAGAACCGCGACGTCACGTCGATCGCCACAACGATTACCCTTCACGTCGATGCCGCAGTGCCGTTAATAAAAGTTTCTTCTTTCGCGACGACCCCCGCCCCCTGTTTACTTTCGTTCCTTTTTTCTC